TTTGAAAATATTCCATTAATTTAACCAATTAATACTCCTGCATTGTGGTATAAACATAAACTACTCGTGTTAAATCCATTAAGCTCTATATGTTGAATCAAACTTTAGCAACATAATATGGTAGTCTTGAACAAAACACATTCCCAATAACAGGTACCAAATAATATAAGCACATTTATCTATCATATCTTTTATAAGGAAATTTGAAGAAGACCTTCAGATTGTATTTTTTGGTACAAGTTAAGTTCCAGCATTCAGAGCCTTATCATTACGTATAAGTATTCCATTGAAAAATTGCATTGTGCATGAATAATGAAATTTTGAAAGCTTGTTATGGTTATTTAAAAGTAATGTATGATATATAACCTGTTACAACCTGCCGGTTGGGGTGGTGCCCAAATACTTGAGGCTGGAAGTAGTTGATGCAGTGATAGAGAAGGCACCACCCCTATTCCATTCAAGCTTTTGGTTTTTTATTTTTAATTCTTGTCATTTAAATTCTTACATTTATAATTGTTTTTATATTTCTACTTTTATTACATTGTAAGTTGCCTAGAGTCAGCTGGGCAAGATGACAAGATGAGTAGGATATAAATTTAATAAATAAATATTAGATTTGGTTTCTGAAAAAGGCATTTTTGCATATGGGAAAACATGTCAATAGGAATATGTGTAGCTTATATTTTTGAAGGTATTATGTCACATTCTATATTCTTCCTGAATTTAAAAAAAAAACTTTAAAGCCATATATTTTTGAAATAATAAACAACCTTATTCCTACTTAATGAGATTCACAAGAGTCTGTTGATAAAATATGAAATAGGAGGTGGACAATATAGATTTTGGAGGGTTTTTTATCATTGAGTATATACTATATATGCACTTTTTAAAAGCTGAAGAAAAAAACTAGTGACAAATGGGTCTATCCACGGATAAACTGAACCCAATTTGGAGGGGTATTTTGGCATTTAAAATTCTTGGCTTATCTGCAAGTATATACAGTATCCTACCTTGGGTTATTTAAGCAATGTGCATATCCCTCTATGATTATTGTTAAATTTCCAGAGAAATATACCCAAGTGACTTTATTCTAACTGAGAAGCAATGTAGATAAGAAAAGATTGAACTTTTCCTCCTTGACCTCTTTCTAAATAAGAAAAAAAATATCTTGTTATAAAGCAGCTCATAGGTTCAAACTCGTTTTAATACAGCCTCAGTGCTGCCTTCTTAGCTTCAAAGAAATATTAGTTAAAAAAACAATTCCAATGTTTTTGTTACAGAATAAATGCCTTTATTTTTAAGGGGAAAGGAAGTTTTAAATAAAGAATAAAATCAATATGGTAAGAATACAAAACTTCAGCCGTCTAGTTCAGGGACAGTCTTTCCTGCTGCAGATTAGTGTTGCATTCCTTATGAGTCTAGCTATTGCACAATAAGACCTCTGGAAACAGCCCTCTAGTTGTACTTAAGGAAATCTCCCAAACTGCTAAGGATATGAGTAGGAACATGTTCCATCTGTTCTAAACATGTCTCATACATCTTTGACAATTGCGCATAAGAAGATAAAAGGACATGTCAACATAGCTGCAGAACCAAACAGTAGAAGAATTCTCTCATCTTGTCATTGGAAGCCGAGTCAACAGTTGAGAATACTAATGTTCTCTGCACAAGTCATTTATCTTCATGTTTACTTCAACTTCTCTTGTTTGTTTAGCTGCCCAAACAATATGTTAATTATAAACCATTTGATCAAATCATTTGATTTACATTCACCAACCACATTTCCAAGCAGATACTGTGTGATCCAGTATTGTTTGGCTGTTATTTTTCCATGTAGCTAGGCTCTTAGCAAGGGACCAATTAATCATTTGACATTAATTGAATATGTGAATTTCCTTTATAATTCTAAAAGAAAGTTAAAGAACCACTGCTATCAGGGCTAGATAGGCAATTGGTTTAAACTGAAACAGCAGGTGGGTTTCTATATGTCAGTGGTGAATAACCTTCAGCATCATCTGTATACAAATTTCAAGGCCCTTTTTGTCCTGGAGCTCCTGATTAAAGCTGCAGAAGATTGGCGATCAATTTCTCATCTTATTGAAGTGGGAAGGTCATGAGAACTACCATAAACAACCTAAAACATGTATAATATAACTTAAGAAAAAAATAATCTTTTCAAATACTTGAAAAAATGAAATTCTGAATACAACATATGTCATCTAGATCCCTCACGTTGCATTACTCCCCAATTACTGCAGTTGCTAGTCCTTTAAAACATAATGTGTAGCCTCAGCCTCCAAAGCTGCCCAGTTGGAGCAGCTTACACTTGGTGTAAGTCTTCCTCCCACATTAAGCGTACTGTGTTTCATGGCGTACAAGCTGAGTAGTTGTTACTTGTTCACCTGATGTCTCTACTCTGAGATCTGGCTCTCATCTGTGATTGCAAAACCTAGGAAAACTAGCTTTCGTATGGCTCCTATTCTAAGTAAACAAATCAGATACTTAAATTTTGCTGGTGCAGACAGTATTTCACTCTGCAAATGACTCCTACTTCCCTCCTACTCCTACATGTAAAACCTACATGTAAAAAAATCACTGATGTCACAAAAACATTAATCCTTGAATAGAGGCAGCTTCTTTTTAAATAGCAGCCACAAGTATTCTAAGAGAAAGAAATGTGGAACGTGGCAATTATGACAAATGGGCAATTAAAAAAAACCTGTAATTTTGCCCAGGAATACATGAGAGATTGTGTGCTATATAAACCTATATTTTTCATGGGAATTTTAAGTCTAATTGGGCTATTCATGAGCCTTGCAATTATGAATATTGTAGAACGGGTGCCCAACTCCCGGGCTGTGACCCACTACTAGACCATGGCCTATTTGGAATTAGGCCACATGAATAGCTAGTTGGAGAGCATGCACGTACACACACAGCTCAACTTGCTCAAGCAGCAAGCTAGCAGGCACTTGCATGTGTGCGTGCCAGCCCACTGCTTGTGCAAGTCGAGCTGCGTATGCACCAGCTCGCCACCCATGCAAGGGCTGGGTGCAAGTCACTGCTCAGGTGGCCCAGTTTCCCCTCTCCCCTCCCCCAGCGGGACTGCCAAGCCGCAAAGATTGGGGAACACTATTGTAGGATAATAAAAACTTGTGGCTTCCTTTAGTCTCACAAGCAAATTCTCACATATTGTTTTTTATTGTTTTTAGTTTCAGTAGTGTTCAGTTTAATTAGCATCAAAATAGTTGAGTCTGTTAAAATGCTGCAAGCAATTCCTATTTTGGCCATACGATGCTTCAGGAGATTTCAAGAAGCACTGAATCACTGCCTAACACAGCTTCTCTTTCAAAGTGCAGAATTTGAAGAAGTTTCTTTCATAGTAGAAAAGGGTCCTCAAAGAAGACCTGCGTGTGTGGCTGTCTATATAATGTATACAGGTAGTACTTGACTTACGACTTACTTGACTGAACTCAGAATCTCAGTCATTGAATGAAATGGTCATTAAGTGAGATGGCCACGGGACTGTTTCGCTCAATGGCCGCAATCCCGGCATTCTCAGGTTTAAAATGGATGGAGTGAAAGAGCTACTTGCCGAGTTTAGCTCTCCTCCATAAGCCTGGATTTTTGGGAATCTGTGCTCCATTTATTTTCTATGCTCAGCCTATTTTCCAAAGCACCAGAAGGCAAGAGAAGAAACAACGGATGGAAATAAATCAAGGAGAGAAGTAACCTGGAATTAAGGAGAAACTTCTTCCTAACAGTGAGGATAATTAACCAGTGGAATAGCTTGCCTTCGGAAGTTGTGGCTGCTCCATCACTGGAGATTTTTAAGAAGAGACTAGGCAGCCACTTGTCTCAAATTGTATGGGGTCTCCTGCTTGAGCAGGGGGTTGGACTAAAAGACCTCCAAGGTCCCTTCCAGCTCTATTCCAATTCTGATTAATTGTTGCACCCCACCAAAGGAGTTCATGTTCCCTTGGCAGGAGCTCTTTCAGCCAGCCCGGAGAAATGAGAGGGAGTCTTCTCGGCAGGCAACACCAGCTTGCAACTTTCTCTGCCGGCTTCCCCATGAAATTCCTAAAGCAGACAGCAGAGAAGATTGCAAATGGCCCAGCTCTATGTTGGAAGGTCTGGCAGTTATTGGGTTAAATGCTAGGTATGTGGATGGGTCAGTGGGAGGAGTTCCAAAGGTCATTGGGAGACTTCCTGGACACAAGCCACTTGGGAATCTCTTTGTCTGTAAGAAGCATGGGCCATGGAAGGTCTCCCTATAAGCATAAAGATGGTATAAAGAGCAACATCTTCTTACCTAAAGGAAAGATCTAAAAGATGAACAAACATGTATTCCCAGCAACACCAATCTCAACGTGAACGCAAGTAATCTTTCTCATTAAAATATATTTGTTTATTATAAGATCATTTCTTTTGAGTTAACTATCTGACTGGATTTGAAATATAACACTTTTAAATTTGGGTCAGAATAGCAATCATGTGATCACAGGATGCTTGGCAACTGATCATAAATGTGAACAGGTTGCCAAGCATCCAGATCACAATCACATGATCATGGGGCAATGGCTAGAAATGCTTTATGGGCCGTAAAGTACCATTTCCAAGGTCGTCATATTTACCAAACTCTCATTGAACAAAAGGGCATAAGTCAAGGACTGCCTCTACTTTTCATTAGTTTCCTGCATTCCGTGTTCAGAATGAAAACCCCAAATACAGCATATTCATTTTGTATCACTGAACAACCAGTTAATATTCTAACTACTAAAATCCTGGAGAACAAATAGAAAAGTGCCTATGAACTCTTGCAAATACTGCAGAACAAATTTACATAATCTGATGTATCTAGATGTATTTCTGTTCATATATATCTGATGGATAGTGTTTGAGGACTATTCAAAAAGAAGCTACCACATAGAAGAACTGAAGGAAAGAGACAGCATTATACCATAAAACACATGTACGGTACTGAATAACTGCTAAAATAATTAAAATTACTTGCATCTTTAATTTTGTAAATACTTTACAAAAATGATTTTTAAAATTAAACATAAATTAGCAATAGACGGTTCCTGTTTTGACAGTAAATATCAAAATATATTTTCTTTTGATTTAGATGAATATATAATATATAATAATAAACTAAATATATTAATCCCAGCTTTTTATCTCAAGAACTTGGGAATTGCAAACCACTGCCTATTTTTCAGTCACTTACTTTCCCATAATTATTGTAAATTAAAACCCCAAAATATAATAACCATCCCAGGAAAATGAGAAATTATTTTAAACATAACTATCTCAGTGGTGCCTAGATCTCTTTGGTCCAAATGATGAGATCAGTTTTTAATCTCTAGCAGACTATCGGAATTTGCATAGGTCTTTTAAAATAAAAATACAAATTATATTGTCACTGTTGATTGATCCTTTTTTTAAGATTATACCATCCATTTGTTTTTTAGAAGGATGTAAGTTTTGTAAAAATAACTAAAATGTGTATAATATCAGGTTTTTTTTAAAAAAAAATAGTATACCTTTTAGCAAGCAACAAAATAAAAATAGGAGAAAGAAAAATGCGTGTATGTGTATTGCCAAATTACAAAATGATTTTATATGCTAAAAAAGTTAAAAACTGAAATCCAGAAAAAGATCAGATCAGCTCTCTTGCATAATAGAATTCTCAATTAGCTCAGATTTTTGCATACCATTTTGTAACATTCAACTTGGTTTATTAAAGATAAAGAGGTGTGAGACTCTTTAGTTTCTCTTTTTTAAAACAAATTCAATGTTGTAATTACTTTTCAAAGCTACTCCAAAATTCTTAAAATGGCTTGTCATTGTATTCATGTTGGAAGCACCTCAGGCCCTTCCAGGTTGAAAGGATTAGCCTGTGACAGGTGGTGATTAGCTTTGCCCAGGGGATGCCCAGTTAGGAGTTCCTTTTTTGTTTCCCTAATGTGCCCACTGAAGTGATACCTATCAACTCACAATCGCTCACTTTGAATTGTTAGGTTGGCAGGAGCTGAAGCAAATGACACCCCACCACACAGCAGCAGTTGGGTCTCAAACACAGGCTTGCTGATCATCAACCCAGCATCCTAACCATGTGAGCACTGCACTCCTAAAATGGCTTAGTTTCTACCACAAGCAACAAAGCCATTTCATTGGTATTGCTGAAATCATTTTTGGTACAGTTCACTCAACACAATATTATGACAGAATTAAAATCTATTATTGGTAGCAATACTGTTTAGAAAATAATTGAGCTCAAACTAAAAATGCAGTGGATATAATCTAATAGATTATTTCAGATAGAATCTAATAGGCTATTGTGCTTGAGAATAGTTGTACTCCCCACATGGGAGATAAATATGCTAGCGAAACAGTAGTCTGAACATTGAATAATATTGATAATATTTATATGCACTATTTAGCCTTACCAGTGTTTTAAAAAATACAAATAGAGAATTGAGCAGCAGGACTTGGGCACAACATGGTCACCAAACTAGCTGTTTCATCTGCTAGAATCTTTGTGATCCCATTCCCAACATTATTTGTCATTTTTAATTTCTAAAAAATGCTGATTTTTTCAACCATCTTGCCACAAATTTGGTGGATACTTACAGATTACACAAATACAATATAAGGCACCATATAGAGCTTGCAGGATGCCCATTCCTGGGTTTATATGAACTCATCCACCGGCTCATTCAATAAATAGTATAATGTGTGAATCCAGCCTTTCTCTTACTGAAATACATACATTTAAGGGGCAAAAAGCAAATGAGAAAGAAATACTTAGCTACATATTATAAGAATTTGTAAGTCTGAAAATATATTTCTGGAAGAGTTCATACAGCATCACCATGTGCATTGGGAACTGCAACTCAACATAAGAAATAAATGAAAATACTAAGGCTGTAGTTTTATGGATCATCATTACTGTTTCCAGTTGGAAGCCTGAAGTTTTGAAATCTCCAGTAAAAAGGAGGCAAACATCTTCGTTCCATTGATATAGTTAAATCTGATCAGGAAAGGAAGGAAAGAAAAACAATTGTCAAGCAATCTAAAAGTTAAAGGTGCTTGGTTGCTTTGAAGTTCTAAACAACTGGGCTGTAGGCTGAGTTTGATATATGAACCTAGATATTTTGTTCAGTAAATAATAGCTTTTGGCTTAATATTATGTCTCAAAGACATTAGAATCATTCAGCCAACAAATCATACTTAAAAAACAAATATTAGTTTAACACAAAATATGAACCAAATTTATGTAACCAGAGACCTCTGTAAACTCTATGAAATGAGACAGGTACTAATGCACGCCAAAATGGAGGACAGAGAAATAATGATCCCTTTCGATAATCATCCACACCACTGATCAAAATATAAATGAGGAAATGGAGTTTATGGTTTATATTGTCTTATGCTAACATATGAAATTAATTTAAATTTTGGACCTGCTTATTTTCTCTTTCTGGGAATGTTCCCCATCATCCATTGCACCAATTGGAAGCATCATCACACTCTTCTTTGTTATATTCTGGAACACTCTGGCAATTGGAATTGTTGATCCATCCCGGATCATATCTGGATCCTGATTAAAAACTAAAACATAGGAAAGGAGAAAATATACACATGATGTAACTTTTTTTGTGGTGGCAAAACTTAAAAATAAAGCAAGATATAATTACTGGTAAAGTATGTGTTGATAGACATCCGAAGATGCTTAGGTATGAGTCATTGCATAGAAACTAATTGAGCAATTCCAATTCTCTGCTGTGCTTAAGTTTGAAAAGACATGAGAAAAAGCTGTCCTGCCTGATCTCTATCATAATTTCTTTTGAAATCCCTTCAAAAGTGCTTATGATACAACATACAGATGTGGTATTTGAAATGTCCTATAGAACAAAAGTATTGTGTAACTGAACCGTAGCTTCTTTCTGTATATGACAATCTTCTATTTCCAGTTCTCTAAAACTTTAAGTGCACAAGTATAATATAAATGATGAGCCTTTGCTGCTGGTCCTTATAAAGACAGTGAAAAGCCACATGCCAAAGAAACTGCAATGTCTGAAACAGTACAAACCTTTCCTGATTGCCTTTTTAGCAGCCGTATACTGAGGATCATTGATATTGGCGATCCAGGGCACTGCACCCATTAGCATAGATACTGTCAGTTTATTTGGACTTCTTCGATTAGAGAATACATCTTCTAAATGTTTTTTCACCTAAAATAGAAATAAATTATGATCTTTAAAAATGTTACTTATATTGTGTGTCGATCAAAACAGGAAACCTCTAACTGAATGAATTAGCTAGATTAGCAGATTGGTGGGAGGAGGAGAAGGGATCTCAACCAAATCAAGATGATAGTCACAACTATCCAATTAAAGGACATAAAAAGAGATGGATTATCACCACCATGCACAGATGGCTACATTAGCCCTCTATGCCTCATCTTCAATTTCCTTCTGAGTTCTCTGCTGTTCTTTAATTTTCTTCAAGTTAGAGCTTCTCTTCTCAGCCTTCAGTCTGTGCCAGTGTCACGATTCTTTGCACCCAGAATCTGGGCTGCAAGCAGTTTAGTTCCCTCCACTGACCACAACTGAACAATCTGAGAGCGAGAGCTGTGATTTTGGCAAGAGATGTGTCCTTTGGTGATCAAACAATATTGAAATGTGAAATTTGCAGTTACACCAAATCTCTTCACATCCTTCTTGTTATCCATAGACTGGGCCCTCACAAGCTATTAAAAACTGGCAAGTCAATAAAAAAAGCCTTTCTTGAAAGAAAACAGATCCAGCTGGTGGATTGGTTGGTTTCTCCCCTAATTCTGGCTCAAGAAAGCATAATAATCCAGCAATGCTTAGTAGGCAAGGAACCAAAAACAACCAGGCATGGAGTTGAATTTCACCTATTTGATCTAGGAAGTCAGCTTTTCATCAGTCTTCTTGGCCTATTATCACCAAACTGTTTAGAGCTTATACTATAACATGAGAATGGAATAATCAATAGGATGACAGATCCCTGATATCAAGATCTTTCCACATAATTCAATGTTTTGCTTAGCTGCTCATTTTTCATATTTCATTATGAAAAAGAAGCTTAGTACCAAAACTGTCAGACTAAGCCACTCAGAATTTTGTTGAAGATCAATAAAAGTCATGAGGTTTCAAGAAAATGTTACCTGATGTTCTACTTTAGACAGATCCATATGAGGGACTTGCCGGATTGAAAACTTTCCTATGACTTTTGATGGTATAACCGTCTTGATACCTGGTTCATAAAAAGCTCCCTCTATCCCATGAATAGAGAGAGATGGCAGGCGCCACATATGTGAGAGTATTTTCTCCTTAAAAAGAGAATGAACAAAGCCAAATAGAAAACTTTAGTCAGAGTGTATTCAGTAAAGCTAGTGAGCAATGATATCGCTTTCAGGATACTTTTAAAAATTACTCCTATTCCACTACTTTTTCAGTGACTGCTCACACATGACTAAAATCAAGGTTAACAGCCAATCATAGATAGTCGACAATATTAAGCACAGGTTAACCATCTAACATAGACTAGACTAGGAAAGCAAAATAACTGACGTTAATGCTATGTTTATTATAAACATATACGAATAGAATACTGCATGTCTCAATGTGCTTCCCTTGTCCCTCTTTTGATCTTTGGAGAATAGGAATGGTCAGTTCCCAGGGGAGAAATAAAATGAAAATAAAAACAGAACTAACAATAGCAATGGAATGAAGAACCATCAAATAGACAGGGAGTTTATAGTTCCTCTCCAGGCAAGGAAAGGACTTGAGCTCATCCACAACTGACAGTTGTTCCTCACAAGAAGCCTGCAAGTCAGCGGTGTCCAGCAAATTTAGAGCGGAATGGCTATCTTGTTCAAATCAGAGGCAACACCTTTAAAAGGAGACTGGGATGAGCAGAGGGGCAAGCTAGGTATCTGCAAAGGGGCATAATGTCACACAAAGATAGGTATGAATGGATACTTCCACTTACCATTGGAGCAAGGCCATCCAATGTAAACCTTAGGTTTGAAGGGTTTTTTTATGACCATAGTGGGGTTATAGTTGAGATTCTGCTTCCTCACACCAAAATTATGTGTCTAAGTCATTTAAATGTTAATTTTACAACCTGAAAATGGGTCTATGATGGTTATTAAAGTTGCTGTTTCTAAACAATTACCTGTTAGGTTGACTTAACAAGAGAAATAAAATTGACATTTCCCCTTATTTCTACCCAGATCTTTGGAAAGCAGATAAATATAAATAATTGTATTGAGAACTAATCTTGTTTTTATTGCTTCTTTATAACATGATGGGTTGAAACTTTTACTATCTCTTGTTATGCAAACTGATTTACAAAATCACAGAAAGCACTAAATGTGCTTTCTATTTATTTCCTATTTATACTGAAAAATATAAAATCATTTTTGGAAATAAGAAATCAGACAAATATTGGATAAAACTAGAGAACTAGAATTTAGATACTAGACCTGGTCTTCCTTTCTACCCAAATAACTAGGAAATAGTAAATACCATCTATGATAATGGTAATGAAGAAGCAGATCTATTGTGATTAAATTATCTAAACTATTAATAATAATTCATTGCCACATTTTTATCAAGGTATTAAATACTCAGTTCAAAAACAAAATGAACACCAATTACTCAAACAGCTTCAACAAGGAAAAACAGGCAAACATCAGTATTATGTCGATAAAGCACATTAATACGAAGGGGCACAGTCACAAATTTGAGCTTCATTTTTTATTAGTACTTACTTTCTTTTTAGCATATATTTTAAATGATTTTTCTTCAGACTTTTCTTAAAGGCAACATTATTGGGTCTTTCTATTACTTTTATTTATTCTCCTATGCCTGCCTTCATTTTCTTTCCCACCCAGTACTTCCAAGAGGATAATTCCTAATAAAACTAATCAAAAGTTGTGCATCTATACTCTTTCTCTGCTTTTGTGAAAAAAGAGGACAGAATCTACCATAGGTCTTGCCCAGCGAATGAGGAGTTTTGTAACCATTTCTCATTATTGAAACTACTGTACCTTGGTATCATAAAGGAATTCCTTCACTCCAAGATTTGATTTATGTTCTTCCACATCAAATTCTATCAACTCATACTGCTTTTTCTCCTCTTCTGAAAATGGAGCCACATCATCATATATTCCAGGGATCAGAATATATCCAGATGAACTTACAAGATTGTCTATGGAACCAAAATAAATTGTAATCATTATTTTATCATATGTATTTACTGTTCAATGAAACTGAGATATTGCCTGACTTTAATATGATAAGGGAGAGGAGAAACCAATGATTTAGATATTATTATGCTACGTGTGGAATATAGGTTGTTATTGTTCAGTTGCTAAGTTGTGTCCAACTCTTCACAGACCTATGGACCATAGCACGCCAAACCTCCCTGTCCTCCAGTGTTTCCCAGAGTTGCCCAAATTCACGCTTGTTGCATTAATGACACCATCTAACCAAGGAATATAGGTGCAAATGGAAAATAAAGGAGGGCCATTTTGAAATAGGAAGTAATATATTCTGGTAGGTTTACTTCTGCCTTACAAATTGATTTAAACAAAACCAATTTACATTTTATGTAATTTAAGCTTTTGTATCGATTAATCTTTATACAAATTATACCAGCCAATATAACATCAGTTAGCCTCATGTCACGTTCCGATTAGCATTCCACTTCAATGTTTTAGCCTTGAGGTTAAGATCTTAAATATCACAATAACATTTGGCATTAGTGGGAAGCCTTTTACAACTTCTGCATTTTTCCATGCAGCATCAGTCATCTGTAGGTTTATAGTACCCCGTGACAGAGTTGAGTATTGATCACAACCTCAGCTTCCCAATCTTCTGGAGCAGGGGACTCCAAACTTGGCAACTTAATAATAATAATAAAGTTGGAGGTCATCTAGTCCAACCCTCTGTTCAAGCAGGAAACTTTAAGACTTGTGGACTTCAACACCCAGAATTCCCCAGCCAGCATAAGGGATTCTGGGTGTTGAAGTCCACAAGTCTTAAAGTTGCCAAGTTTGGAGACTCCTGTTCTGGAGGATTGCAGGAGGCTACTCAGGAATGCTGTGAAATCATCAGAAGAACGCATTTAAGCATTTTCAAACCCTTTTCTGGCTTTTATGGTACTAAAGGTGTTATGAAATGGGAGACACCCCCCTCCCCACACACACACACTCCCATCAATAAAAACCTTGGCTAACAATTACATATAGACAATGTATAATTTTCTTTTTTTACCAAGTAGAGCTAGCAAATCAGACATGGGCTCATGGATGATGCCACCTGCACTTCCTGAATGAAGATCTTTTTCACCACCTTCTACCTAAATTAAATAAAGACAGCATGTTAGCTATCACATAGATAAGGTCAGCATTTATATGAATTTTGAATTTATAGTATTGGTGTTTTATGTGGGCCTGCACCAAGATTATTTAAAAAATGATTTGTATTTTGTCTATTAGTTAGCATAAATTCCTCCAACATTCAAACTTTCCGTTGCCTTTGCTGTATCTGAATTGTTGTTTAAGGTGGTTATTTCTATAAATAAGGAATATACAAATAACAAACATGCATATCTCTATGTTTACTGGACTAATCAATAACCACAATATTTTGAAGTATATTCCTAGAGATTAAGACACTAACAAGGAGATCATCCACCTGGTGAAAGGTGATAACAATAACTTATATACTGCTTCATAGTGCTTTACAGTCCTCTCTAAGCAGTTTACAAAGTCAGTATATTGCCCCCAACAATCTGGTCTTCATTTTACCAACTTTGGAAGGATGGAAGGCTGAGTCAACCTTGAGCTGGTGAGAATCGAACCGCCAAACTGCAGGCATCCGGCAGTCAGCAGAAGTAGCTTGCAGTACTGCATTCTAACCACTGTGCCATCACAGCTCATGACTCAAGGAGACCATCCATCCAGAAATGTTTGGAATTGGAAATCCTGCTTAAGGTTCCTCAGCAAAACATATATCAGACTAGAATAGATTTCAGTTTTTCACAGAACTAATGGAAAACCATCCTGGATGGGAGAGTCCTTATAACTAGTTTATGTGAGAACAGAAAGTGAGAAAATAGCCCTAGTTTATACATGGGATGCTAGCTACAATTCCTGTTAAAAGCTACTATTGTAATGAGCCAAGAATACAGGTAGCTGTCAATCCAAGAATTCCATTTGCCCACCATCATTTTGTAGCCAGTGTATAATGGTGTATAAAAAGCATTGATTCTGATTGAAGGAAGCTCAGTTTTAAATGTCTGTCAGGTATTATAAAGCAATCACTATTCTTTTAGTGATATTCAATATTCACTATTCTTTTACACTTAATCTATTTCAAAAGACCCTGAAAATAAAATGAGGTAGCTCAAAAAGCTTCTGATCTCTTTACACAGGGTGTAGGAAATAAGCATGATAAATAATCACATGAAATAAGCATGATAAATAAGCATATATATTTCCTTAACAGTAAAAGAAATTCAAATGTATGATTATGATTAGGGCTGATGATTAAATCTGTGGGAATAGTCTTACATTAGTTAAGAAGAAGAACAGAAAAGGTGCAGAGAATGAAGATGTCCTGTATGGAAGCAGTGAGAAAAAGATCTATTAGTAAATCTCAGGTTTCACAGTAAGTCAGCATAGATTTCTGGTTCTCAATTACCTAACAATGACTGCAGCTGAAAAGCAATAAACCTTACTCCTAAACTGAGTTGCAGAAAAAGAATAAAGAAAACTAGGAGTGAACATTTCTTTGAAATACTGTTAAACTTGATCTTGGCATCGTTTATAAATAACTGATCTTAGCAGATGCTTAAAGATTTTGGGTTTTAGTGTTCTTCCACTCAGCTGAACTATTCTTTTTCATCTAATCTGATTGGTGGATTTTAGGATTGTAGTTCATCTGTTACTTATTAGTTACTTTTATATCCTTCCTTTTCTCCATAGAGTTGAAGGATGTCATCTCTCATTGTCATAAAATGTGGTGGTGCAGTGGTTAGAATGCAGTATGGCAAGCTAACTCTGCTCACTGCCAAGAGTTCCATCCTGACCAGCTCAAGGTTGACTCAGCCTTCCATCCTTCCGAGGTCGGTAAAATACAGATTGTTGGGGGGGGGGCAATATGCTGATGTTGTAAACAGCTTAAAGAGTGGTGAAAAGTACTGTGGAGCGGTATATACCGTAAATGCCGGCGTATAAGGCGACTTCCGCGACCGCTGAAATCGGCGCCAAAGACGGGGGTCGTCTTATACGCCGAGTCGTCTTATACGCCGGAAATACTGGTAGTTTCTGGCGTATAAGACGACGTTCTAGGAATGCAGCCCGGCTATAAAGATGGGGGTCGTCTTATACGCCGGGTCGCCTTGTACGCCGGCATTTACGGTAAGTTTAAGTGCTATCGCAATTGTATTCTCAGTTACAACTCTGAATTTGGTTGAGACTTTCTGAGAGCTTTCCCAGGTTGCTCCTAAGATTTCCTGGGATTAATTCAATTTTCTAAACACAACACAGATTATATCCATTCTTGTTCTATAGTAACCTTCCATAATCTGTTGCTCTCCATATATATCACAAAATTCCCATCAAAAAGTGAAATTATATTTGTTGTAATCCAATTTATCTATTGGGCATCAAGTTGGGAAAAGTTATATAGAGACAGTAAAATTTGCATCTAATCAGCTTCAAAGAAACTCCCCCAGAATACAATCAGAGTATTTTAGTCACAAATAATTCTGGTTTTGTCTTTTTACCTCCACTGAGAAGCAGGCATTTCCCCTAGCTCCATATGTAAGAGCTGGTTTTGTTCTGGCAAGCCAAGTATTATCTGAAATCACAATATAGTCAACACTGGAAAAAAATTTTTCATTTTCTTTTCCAACCAATTTCTCCAGTCCAATGGATCCTGCTTCTTCCATGCCTTCAATAAGAAATTTGATGTTTACTGGTAAATCCTGGTTAAAAATAAATACATTCCCTTTTAAACAACCATTTTAAAAAAAGAACTCTCCATTTAATGTCAGACAGAATTATAATGTATAAGCTGATGTTCAGTTCATTGCAATGTGGCTTGGATTAGCCTCAACAAAGACCTTAGTGATTCGCCTCAATAAAGATCTTTGTGGCATTGAGATAAAGCATTTTTTGTTCTCTGGTGTAAAAAACAAACATGATTTGTCTCAACAAATCAGGTGCCTTTGAACTAAATTGAAATCAACCTTTCTCGAATGTGTGTGTGTGTGTGCGCGCACACACACACACACACACACACACAAACACACAGATATAAAAGATCAAACCAACATTTGGGATCAAATTGATTTCATTATTTAAAGTGTACATGCAAATCAGATCTTGGCTGATTCACAGAGGCCTAGGCTGCAGATTTCCTACCCGTTTTAACTGGAGAGATCAAAGCTTGAATGGAGTATAATTGACTAAAAGGAAGTGCTCTGTGGACTAGCCTCTCTGAGAAATCACAAAGGAAAGAAAGGGAAATTAGAAGCCTGGAATATTACTGTCATAAGCATGATCACATGCTGTATCAACTGCATGTGTCTCTAGGACTTGTTGACTTATCGACTATTTATGAACGAGACTACTACATCTGTTTTAAATGGAATCTGATCCTCCTGAGTATGCCAATATACTGAAAGAATGACACCCAACTCACACTCTCCTATTTTTGATTAACTGTATAAGAAACTGACCATCTCATTCCAAGTTATTCTTTGGTGTTTCTTTTCCTATTTGATACAACACTGGATGGCCAGACTACATTAGGATTTTCTCCTTATGTACTGTTCCTCTTTGAAAACTATCTTCTCCAGAATCTAAGAAGATGTGAATTTTTTAAAAAATCCACTTGTATCCAATGTGTAGTTGAACTATAAAATTCACTTCCACCAGATGTGTTGATGGTCACCAGTTTAGAAGTAACACACACTTTTCATTATACCCCATGCTAGGCGAGCTGCATTGGCTACACTTGACTTCTGAGTGCAATTTAAGCTGGTCATCTAAAAAGACCTTCATGGCATAGGGCAGACATGTCAAACTCGTGATGTCGCGTGACGTCGCACAACATATCGGGACAGTTTTGCCATTGCCGACAATGGGGTGGGTGCGGCTTCCAGATGACGCATCCAGCCTGCGGGCCGGCAGTTTGACACCCCTGGCATAGGGCCTGGTTATTTGAAGGACTGCCTATCTCCAACTGTCTTTGCCTATCCAGTGTATTCAGGCAGACCAGATGTGCTGCAAGTTCTCTCAAATGCTGTCCTCTTATGGGACAAAGGAAGCATGTCTTCTTCTGTCACAGACCTAGAGTTCCTGCTTTCCAAATGTTTCTTAAGACCTGGCTCTGTCCCCAAGCCTGAGGTTAACATGTAAGAAAACCTCATATCATATATTTTTAATTATTATAACTGTTTTTGTCTGGGCTATTATCCTTATGTTTTTAAGTTGGATGTTGTCAGCCATGCAGAATCTTTTGGAGTGGAGTGGCTATCACAAATCTCAATAATGCTAATAGCAACTAGACACAATGATAGACTATGGACTACCCTTTCGGAATCCAAAAATAAGTCCATGAAATACCATTTACTTGGGAAGAACCACACACAGAGAACAATTGAATTTATTTTGCAGATGATATTCCATGAGGCCTTTGGCTGGCTCCTATGTGATGAAGAATGCCAGACCAGGTAAGCCTTTAATTTCTTAGGTGAGTGTTGAATCTCTCTTCCTTGATATTTCCCTAATTTAAACTGCCTTTTCCAATTGCTCTTTTTTAATATTATTTAAAACATTTCTTTTTCTTCAAGACCGCATTTTTACTTACTATGTTTAGTGCTTTAAATGTGCTCACAGCATTTATCCAGGCTAAGACAGGTCCTTTGTTATCAGTTGCTCCACGCCCATACAGATTTCCTTAGGATAAAGGAAACTGATATTAAAATTTGAAAATTCTGATTATGCTAAAAACAGAAAAAATCTCTCTCTCTCCCTCCCTCCCTCCCTCTCCCCCTCTCCCCCTCCCTGTCAGTGGATATGAAGTCAACTGAGGAACTCTCTGCTAAAGAAGTGGTGGAAATAATTTGAGAGAGTTAAAGTGCCTGAATAAACTCTATCTCTATCCAGTAGAGTGACTAGTCTTAAGAGAATTGCCTACTCCAAATGGCTTTGTATTTTTTGGAAGTACTGTTTTCGAATAGTCTAGTGCAGGGGTCTTCAAACTTGGGCCTTTTATGACTTGTGGACTTCAACTCCCAGAATTCCTCAGCCAGCATTCCTGGCTGAGGAATTCTGGGAGTTGAAGTCCACAAGTCATAAAAGGCCCAAGTTTGAAGACTCCTGGTCTAGTGGATAACTGCTCAAAAATGCCTTTGTCCAATTACAATGTACTCATTAGCTGCATCCTTTTTCAGGTATCCCCACCTGTGTTGAGCTGAGGAGCAGATTTGGAGTGTTGGGCCAAGGGGCATCTTACAAAATGGTGCTGAGAGAGGACTTACCTTCTCACAAAATTACTAAACGGAAGAAACAGCCATTTACAAAGCATACTCTACTCTAAAGTTTATTTCATTTAGCCTCTGCTTCCAAACAGAGATGCCGAACTGCAGCTGCCTACCATTTCTAAAGAACACTTACAAGATCTATTTGAGATCTCAAGCATTCTGGAAATAGAGATGATGTCAATGGATGGCACCATACACTGCAGTACGCTCTTTTGCTTTTTTCTTCTCTCCATCATGTGCAATGACACTACATGCAACAAGGGTGCAGAACCTACAGACTCAGGACTGTGTGTGTATTCAGTGTCTTTGGTCCCAAAGCCATAGCAAAGGTTGTCCCTGCTTTTTGGCTTTTAATGCAAAGAAAGATTTTACTAAATGCATGAGAGAAATATATTTAAGCTGTACATTTTGAACATGTACATGGGATTCATAGTAAATGGGAAACTCATTCTTTTCATATGGCAGAAGAGGAAAATTATTTAAAATAATAGAAATGGATTTAAACTGGCCATTTTAAAGGCACAGATTACATGCATACATTGGATTTCAATTTATGGAAGAGTAATTGTAATATGTAATATGACAGAACAAAGAAAAAATTTAAAGGCACAATTATATTTCTACATTTAATGCATTAGAGTACAATTCATGTTCTTTTTGTGTAGCTTCCATGCATTTTTAACAGAATAGTTCCCAGCATACCACTCAGAGACATGCATATCCTTAGGTCAAAACAAACTGCTCATGCTTGATATAATCCATTAAGATATTTTCATCCAATAAGTATTAGGGCTCCTTTTGTATTCAGTCTCAGTTGAGATTGCCATAGTTCTTCTAGAATCTTAGAAAAACTTCAACTATGAGAAAAACTGCTTTAATCCGAATCTTATTTGCTTTCATTTATATTCAGTAAAAGGTCTAGACCAAACATGTCAAACTCGCAACATCACATGACGTCGTGAGACGTATCGAGACTGTTTTGCTATTGCCGGCAATGGGGTGGGCGCAGCTTCTGGATGACGCGTCTAGCCCGTGGGCCAGCAGTTTGACACTCCTGGCCTAGACCGTTCTAAATTCAGTCACTATAAAATATTATTTCTTATTACAAAAGGTTCCTTTTTTATTTTCATCACGGGCATAATGGAAGGTAGGAAAAATAAAAAGAATATTTCATACCTGTATCAAGCTTAGCCTCAGTAATTCTCTTTACAATTTTCCTCCCAAATCATTTGGGTGTGTTAGGATACAAACCTAGTCCATATGCATGTTCTATGTGACATCAGATCCACGTACAAAAGAGGCACAGCATGCAGCATAGCATTGCAACCCTCACATCATCACCCTGATAAAAGCAGCAAGCTGTCACAGCTGCTGATGCTCCATCTACATATCCTTGCTGATATGAAGAGTCTATCTCCATACCCCATCCCAGCTATAAAGCACAAAGACATTCCAGAATATGCAATAACTACAGTATCTCCCCTAAACTGTAGAAAGCTACTTTCTCCCCCAGCATTAACTGAATATTACATATCATATCTAGTCCTTGTCAAAAGTGTAAATTCAATGGCATGGACTCTTCAGCAAATCAAGGATAGTATGTATACAGTATATATATATATATATAGAGAGAGAGTGAATTATTTACTCGGTTTCCTCTATTGATAACTCTACCTTGTTAATCTGAATTCATTTTCTTCTTCCTTTTCCCTCCGGCATACATATATCAAGCACATTCTCTTGAACCTTGTTTCAGGCAGGAAGGAGTTAGCTAAGTGCTGGACCTTGCCTATTCCTAAAATATATCTCCTATAAACAGAGCTCCTTTTGATCAAAGTTACAAGATCTCATTTGATATAGGCTGCATTTCTCCATGAGAGAGATCTTTGAGGACATACATGCAACAGACACCCAGATTTGAAGGACTAAGACAGAATGATTTAGTGTGCAAACTTCAGAAGAGAATCTAGGGCCAGAAGTAAGCAGCTGGAGAAGCTCAACCAGATGTTTGTCAAGCAAGCCTTCATGCATGATAAAGCTTATATTCTTGTCTTTATTTCAGATTCAGGTATGACTGGCAGACATATTTACCTCTGTAAATAATTTAATAATCTGTTGTCAAGCAGATTGCAAATAATGAGCCCCTGAAGAAGACTATAAATAAAAGATTGCAACTGGAAAGGTCATGTTCAGGTAGTCAGACTATGACTACTTATTCAGCGACTGTTCAAAATATGACAGTGGTGAAGAAGGACTTACAATGGGTCCACAAAATTCTGGCCATCCCTGTAGTCACATGATTGCAATCTGGGCAATTTCCGATGTACCCTGCTAGCTTTTTACATAAGTAAAATCAATGGGGAAGTTGACAGAAAATTGGAAGTCATGATCATATAAGGTCCTCATTTAACAACCTACATAGTCCTCATTTAATTATAGCAACTGGGACTGTTGGAATTTCCACTGCTAAGAGACATGACATCATGCTTCATGACCACGTTACTTAGCAACAGGGTTCCCAATTGCAATAGCTATTGCAACCCAATGACTATCTGTAGGTATAAATAATGAAAAAAAAATGGACACTACTGTACCAGTTGAGATTTTGTATAGAAATGTGAATATATTAAGCAAAGGAGACTACATCTGAGTCAAGAGGGTGGGCAATTACCTAAAAGGCTCTGCATACTTAGATCTCAGACTTCTAGCCAATAGCAAGACCAAATTGATATAATATATATTAATTATGATAGGCTATATCAATGCATATTGAACAGAAAAGATGAAGATTTTTAAGTTTACAAGCAGACAGATCCTCCTATATAATGATCAGTTGGGCAAGCAAACAAGAATATTTTGCCCAATCTTCCACCAAGGTAAATAGATATCTGCAGCACAAGCATGCCAGGAGGTTATGTGGCTACATAAACCGTTAATGATTTAAGGATAGGTGAGCCAAAACCCACTGAGTTCTTTGAGAACAATCAAGGAAGTATTCGATTCTTCTATAAAGAGAAAACTACAAAGTATAGAATTAGAGATGTCCCACAGGACTCATTTCATGAGACTGAAATATTGTCCACACAAAAAAAATACTGCCAGATATACCTCCTAAGCCTTTATCCTGAAGTCGACACAAAACGCTTTGAAAGGGAATGGGAGTTGTGCATTGGTGCATAAGCCAATAAGAAGGGATCTAGGGTTATTTATTTATTTTATGTTATTTTTAAAATTTATAAGCCGCCCCACTCCCGAAGGACTCTGGGCGGCTAACAATAAAAAACACATAAAACATAACAAAACAACAATACAAAAACAATCATCCAGGGGTAAGGTTTTATAAACCCCAGGCTTGCCGGAAAAGCCAGGTCTTAAGTAGCTTACGGAAGACCAACAGGGTGGGAGATTGGAGACTGGACGGAAGTTATTTAAATCATCCGGGTCCAGGGTAGGCTTCTTGAGCAGGGGCCTCAGAACCGCCTCCTTCGGGGATTGTGGAAAAGACCCCTCCCTCAACGAAGCGTTGATCAACACCTGGAGCCAGCTTCGTGTCACCTCCTTGGCAGCCGAGACCAACCAGGAAGGACATGGGTCCAATAAACAAGTGGAGGCGCTCATTGCTCCCACCGCTCTGTCAACATCCTCAGCGGTCACAGACTCAAATTCATCCCATAAAACTGAGCTAAGACCTGCCCCAGTCATCTCAAAAGGCCCTGCCCAATCGGAGTCTAGGTCTGTCCGAATCCGAGCGATTTTGTCTGATAAGAATTGCACAAATTCCTCCGCTCTACCCTGTAAGGGCTCCCCAGTTTCCCGAACATTAAGTAGGGAACGGGTCACCCTAAACAGGGCGGCGGGGCGAGATTCTGCAGACGCAATAAATGCGGAAAAATGCAAACATTTTGCCGCTCGTATCGCCACTAAATAAGTCCTAATATAGGCTCTTAGAAGTGTCCGGTCGGATTTGGAGTTACTAGCCCTCCAGCGTCGCTCTAGACGTCTCTTCTGATGCTTCATCTCCCATAGCTCCTCGGTAAACCAAGGTGCCCTCCGGGATCTACAATTACGGAGAGGTCGCAAAGGCGCGATCCAGTCTAACGCCCCTGATGCCGCCTTATTCCAAGCAGAGACCAAGGACTCAGCTGGTTCGTGGAGGAGGGAATCAGGAAAACCCCCAAGCGCTATTTGGAACCCCTCCAGGTCCATTAAATGCCTGGGGCGGAACCATCTAATCGGTTCCGCCTCCCTGCGGTGGGGGAGTAGGACCGAGAAATCTAACCTCAACAGGAAGTGATCCAAGCATAACAAGGGAGAAGTGACTATACCCCTTAAATCGAAATCACGTCTCCACTGCCCCGAGAGGAATAGCAAGTCAAGCGTGTGTCCTCCCCTATGGGTCGGACCCTGAATTATCTGGGTCAGGTCCATGGTTGTCATGGAAGCCATGAACTCCTGAGCCACACCAGAGGATTCGCCGAGTGACGGCAAATTGAAATCCCCCAGCACCATAAGCCTGGGGAATTCCACCGCCAACCCGGCTACCCCCTCCAGCAGCTCAGGCAGGGCTGTTGTCACATAGCTGGGAGGCAGGTATGTCAACAACAAACCCGACTGAACCCTTGAATCCAACCTCAAGAGAAGGGACTCACACCCAACAACCTCTGGGGCTGGGATCCTGCGAGGTCTCAGGGATTCTCGGACAAGAATCGCCACTCCCCTACCCCTTCCCTGGAGTCGCGGTTGGTGCGTTATCTGAAACCCGTCTGGGCACATCTCTGAGAGAGGAACACCTCCCTCTTGGCCCAGCCAGGTCTCAGTAATACATGCCAGGTCGGCCTCCTCATTCAGTATCAAATCCCGGATGAGGGGGGCTTTATTAATAACCGACCTGGCATTAAGAAGCAGCAACCTGAGACCAGGGTCCTGAACACTCCCCTCTCCAGGTATTGGAGAAGAGTCTAAGGGGTCGGAACAGGTAATCGCTCTAATGCAGTGAGTCCTTGTTCCCCGAAGATGGCCCACCCCTTGGCTCCCGCCATATCTACCTCTCCCTACAATAACCGGGATGTTCCGGCCCACCTCCACCCCCAAAAACTCCCCACCCACCCCGCAGGTCTCCCTCCCACCATCCCCCCCTCCCGGCAGGCCACATCTCACATTCAAATCGAGCCGGGAAGTACATCCGCCCCCCCCCTCCACTTCTGTTTACACACTCAGCAGAGGGGGCACCAGTTCTTGTTCCCAGCTCCATCACTCACACCCATACACACCCCAATACAATAAACTAAAAAAGGTTAAAAAACAATCATACAATCAGCATACACTAGCTAAAAGATTCTGAGAATCAAGGTCAAGAGTCACAAAGGGCCAGCCCCCCCCCCGGCAGCAGCGGCAGCAATGACAACAGGATGGTGCCAGCCAGGCCCTCCGTGGTGCGTGGCGGCCCCACTGGTCTCGCAAGGCCGGACAAACATGGCCACACGATGAAAGGTGTAGCCCACCAGAGGCCACGAGGAGAGAAGGGCCTAGTGTTTCTCCTCCTCCCTCTACAGTCATCCTCTGGCGGCGGCGGTCCTCCCGCAAGGTTCCAGCTGGGTGGTGCCGATGCGGCAATGGCGACTGGCTGGCTCCGTCTCCGGGGGTCTCCTTTCTGCTGGTCTTCCAGCTCCAGGATACGTTGGAATACATATGGGATACGTTGGGCATTACTCACGTAGTGACAGTTCTATTACACCATTCGTTTCCTCGCAATGCTTTTAACCCACGGATTTAACAGTGGTCAATCTCTGGCAGCAGCAGCTTGCACAAGATGATAATGGTCAGTTTCTGGCAATAACAGCTTGCGTGAGATGGTAGTTAATCTTTGGGAACAGCAGTTCACATTAGATGATGGTGGTCAGTCTCTGGCAACAGCAGCTTGCATGAGGTGATGGTGGTCAGCTTTCATGAGATGATGGTGGTCAATCTCTAGCAACAGCAGCTTGCGTGAGATTATGGTGGTCAGTCTCTGGCAGCAGCAGCTCATGTGAGGTAATAGCTATTGGTTTCTGACAGCAGCAGCTTGCAGGAGATAATGGTAGTCAATCTCTAGCAACAGCAGTTCACGTGGGGTGATGGTGCTCAGTCTCTCACAGGCAACTCACGTGGAGTGATGATGGTTAATCTTTCTCTGAAGCTCACAGTGGGAAAAGGGAATACAGGGAACCTTTAAGATTACAAAGCTGTATTTTTGCTTGAGCTCAAGCTTCTGTCTCTGAATTGCAGTAGCTTTCACTCCAGAATAGTAGAAGCCAGGTTGCTGAGAAACAATTTGAAGCTGAGTAGTTAGGGCTTAGGCAGTCCTCCTTGTCCTTTCTGGGTGAGTAGTCTTTGTTGTGTTGCTGCCTTCTAGTATTAATCAGGATCTAATTCTGTTTATGAGCTCTTACTCCTCTATTTTCTACTTCAATTCTTAATTCTAATTAATTCTTAATTCACTGTGCAACAATGTCTACTGAGATATGATAAACATGTTTACTTCTGATATTTATTAAACTACTGCTGCAAAGAATGGTACTGATTACTAACTAAGGATAGTTTTTGTCCCTTCTTCTCCAAATCTTAAGGGAATTCCAGCAGACACTGTAAAAACTATGACCATGGATTAAAACATTTGCATTCCATTAATATCTGCTTCAAAAACCAGATATGCATGTAGGGAGAAAAAGAAGGACTTGTATTCCATCTGTGACTCTTTATTTTCTTACCTTTAGACAAAATTCATTATCTTAAACATAGATAATATTAAGGAATGGTCAGCTTTTCAACTGAATGGTAGCAAAACATCTACTGTTTGATGTCTACAATGATTACATATTATAGTGAATTAGTTATATTCAAAACATTGATTTTACTTTTTTTTCCAACTGTGATGTGCACTTCTCCTCCCTACACTTGCAAACTTAGTAGTCCTCTTCCAATTGTCCATAAATATTATCAATCTGGAGATATAATCATTGCTGCTATTATTTATCAGATTATCTTTCTTATAAATGAGTTCACTTTTCAAAGCCTTCCTTCTTTTGATGTCCTTGATCAGTACCAGTAAGTATGCTACTACTTCTTCTTGTCCTCACACCACACCTCCTCTTCCCCCTCTTTGCTACTAAAAAGCTGTTATGAATCCAAAGGTACTGATTTTTCAGTATTTCATGACTTCTTGACTAGAAAGAGGCAGTTGAGTACCGAGAGGAAGCTAAAGATTTACCCAATGTCCCTTCCTTGAGTAGTCATTCTAACTATCCTTGACTAATGATTGCTAATTTGAAACTTTCTGCCTTTCTTCCCAGGCACCCAATCATGGAACACATTTATTTATTTATTTATTTATTTATTTACGAGACTTATATACCGCTTTAAGTGCAAGCACTCTCTAAGCAGTGTACACCAGTAAGCAATGTATATATATTTACATTGCCCCCAACAATCTGGGTCCTCATTTTACCTACCCCGGAAGGATGGAAGGCTGAGTCAACCTTGAGCCGGTGAGATTTGAACTGCTGACCTGCTGAACACAGTCAGCTAAAGTGGCCTGCAGTACTGCACTCTAACTGCTGCGCCACCTCGGCTCATGCTTTTGGATTTTCCTCCTGGTTGGATGTACTAGCTAGATGCTAAGTCTTGCCTCATCATCATCATTCTAGCCATTGTCTAGCCACTGCAGGATGAAAGCCTCTTCCGCATGTTTCCAATCAACACAGTCTGATCTAGCCTGGCGATTCTTAGCACCCTCTGCCTTCAGGCAGGTCTTCCCGCTGCCGTAGGTAGTTGCCCTAGGGCCTTCAGGGAATGAGGGCCGTTTTTTGAAGTATTGACATGTTGAAGGGATAGACCATAATCTGCAATGCTCGTCCAATATGGGTTAGCAGATGTGATTGATGTTAATCTGGAATATGCATTATGCTCTGTTTGCCTTGGGTGACGCTTCTGGACAATTTTATTTACCCACACAAGCCCTTTGCCTCATCAGGACTTTGATTATAGATGGGGCTTTGATCATAGAAGGGGAAGTCTTGCCTATTCCCCGCTAAGCATTTCCTATAAATAAATCTACAGCAGACATGTCAAACTCGCAACATCACGTGACATTGCATGATGTGTCGGGACTATTTTGCCACTGCTGGCAATGGGGTGGGTGCGGCTTCCACGTGATGCGTCCAGCCCGCAGGCCAACAGTTTGACATCCCTGATCTACAGTATGTTAAGGTTGTAATATCTGGTTCACTAATCATTGTTCAGGTTAGATTCCTCTCTTAGGAATAGTTAATATCTATAGAGAGAATGGTACAGCCTCGAACAATCCTAATATATTGGGAAATATACATTAAGTCCTCTTATAACAAGTCATCAGATTCCTCTTTTAAACAGAATATTCTTCTTCCTCCATTTAACAAACTTAAATATATTTTCCTGAAAAGAATGGTTATGAATGGGTCTTGTTTAGCTATAGACACTCCAGTGACTTGGTTCTTTATTCAATGTCTTTCTATGGCTGTATTTGTTTTTATATGTTGATAAGTGATCAATATTATTGTAGTAATTATTTTCAGAAAGCAAAACAATATGTGTGACATTGTATATGTCCTACTCCCCTGCTTAACGAGCATTCCAAAGGTTTATAATATTTGAAGCATGTATCTTGACATTTTGGGAGTAAATTGTGAAAGTGATTATTATTTTATAAAGTTAAAGCTAATTTAAAAATCTCAGTTTCTATTTAACTATGGGATGACAACTCTTCTATTGCTCCTTTCTGTTGAGACTGAGATTGTATAGAAAATATAATTTGATTATTGATCAAATAATCAATATTGATTATGCAATTAAAAAGTCTAAATTCTTTTCTGTTAATTTAAATAAAATTGATACTGATATGACCATATCTTTCTATATATATAGTACCTATCATCCTTGCCATTTTTATCATATAAAACTATAAAAAATGTCAACTTTTTAATAGCCCTTTTTTTCCTATACCAACTGGACAATACACACATACCATCAATTTCTGTTAAACTGAAAGGATGGGTTTTCCATCCATCTTGACTTTTAGCTGGCATCACATCCACATGTCCATAAAAACACACAGTTGGCTTCTGTGGATCCTCTCCAAATTTTGCCAGAATGACTGGAGGTAATGGAATATTCTGACCATTAGACAGCTGTAGAAATATATTAAAACACAGTTAATGATAATTCAGTGAGTTTATATGGTGACATATACTTTAAAGAATGTTATTTTGTTAGATGTTGATTTAGTTCTAGCTGAAGATTTTTTATATATTTACCAAGGATCAATTATCTATCTATCTATCTGTCTGTCTGTCTGTCTGTCTGTCTGTCTGTCTATCTGTCTGTCTGTCTGTCTGTCTGTCTATCTCTATCTCTCTCACCTATCTATTTCATAAATTTAGTTTTTCTGAAATAAAAATCACCAAACCTCTGCAACAAATATCTCAGTTCACCATGTCAATTTTAGACAATGTTCTTATGAAGTCTGTTTATTGCAAATCCCCTAAGTCAGGGGTCTTCAAACTTGGCCCTTTTATGACTTATGGACTTCAACTCCCAGAATTCCTTAGCCAGGCACACTGCCTTAAGTCTTGCTCACCTGGGCCCTTACATGACCCATCTCCTAGTCTTGAGAGCATCACTGTGTTCAGTAACTATTCAAATCTCCTGTTATCACAATGGCACCTCCACATGACTATTGCCTGCTACTGTTTTGAAGTTGGGGGGATTTTATTGATTCAGGCTACTGTATTATACTATCAATACTGTTTGATAATAGTTCTGAGTTTCAAAGGAGCTTTGCCCACATTATCTGGACATTGAACCTGAAACCTCTCTTTTCTTTATGGAGCAGTCTACACATATACCTTACACTGGATTCTAATTAGAGCCTAAATACCTACTATCTGATCTTGAAGATAGACAGAGACAAAATAAAATTCTCCTGTTTTTCTCCCCCAAAGTGACAAATAATATATTAAGGTATACCATAAGGTCATTAAGGTATTAACAAATGCTGGATGATTAAAATAATAACTCGGGGGGGGGGAAGAAAGCCATTTAATTTAACCCAATCCACTTAATGATTTTCCCTTATCAAAATCACAGAGCATTTAATTAAAACCAACAAGGTCAACAAACCTTCAAACAATTAAACAACAGAGTAAAATAAGATTATTTTCATCAATTATATGATATAATCTGATACATGAATCTGAACATGAATCTATCCTCCATGAAGAAATATTTTAATCTATGTACCACTAAAACTCTTGTGCCTATTTGATTGTTTATAACTTAGTAAAATAGTTTTTTAGGGCAATAGTTTTTGAATCAACCACAAATGGGTTAACTTATAGAATGCATCCAAAGTCCAGGACCCGTGATTCCCATGGGAATAAAATCTGGCAAAGTTGTGTCCGCTTCAGTGCTACTGCACTGCTGTGGTCACATGATTGTCATTTCCAATGCTTCCTGCCAGATTCCTACAAGGACAGTCAATTAGGAAGCAGCAGGAAGTTGGAAATCACTCTCACTGTTTCCTCCCATCCCATGGTCATTCTGTTTTTCAGCTTAAGTAAGGAAATACCTCTGAAACAATGACCCAATGGTCACAGGTTGTCTAGTAGAACATTAAATCTAAACTACTAACATGGCTTGTAATTGGAGTAGAGTAGGGGTGTCAAATTCGCAACATCACGTGAGATGTCGTGACATATCACGACTTCTTTTCCATTGCCGGCAATGGGATAGGTGTGGTTTTGCTATGATGCCTGCAAGCGAGCAGTTTGACACCCCTGGAGTAGAGGAAGAAGGGGAAATATTCAAAATTATATTTACTCTTTTATTAGAGAGAATTTGGAAGGAAAGCAACAAATAACTTCCAAGAAACTATTATCTTTTTGGTGCCCTTTAATTAATTAGAAACCTAGCCTCTTAGCCTAACAATTATACCATCCAAAATTGTAATCAAGTAAAATATACATGTAAAATGTAAAAAAATATGTAAGACTAATAACCATAATAATAAGCATGGATGTGGACTCAAATAACTTTGCTTTACATCATCTCGCATCTTTCTATCTCTGTCTCTTATTTAGGGCTCCTTAATCTGGGGTACTGTCTTTCTCCTACCAGATTTTTTTGCTGCTATCTTGCAATTTGTTTAGATTTTTTTGTAATCCAGATCTGATAACTCTACATTGACCCTATTGCACGAGCAGACATTCCTTCTATTTGTGCGCATTACACTTTTTTTTTATTGAAAAAGTTTTATTAACAAAAAAATTTTTTAACCCCCAAACTTACCCACCCCCACCCCCCTACCTCCCCACTTCCCAGAGTCGAGTACAGGGTTATTAAGTGCACATTACACTTTTGATGGAAGCAAGGACCAGTACCTGTTGAATGCCCATATCATTGAGTGTCACGATAGCTCCTAAGTCTTCAAGACTGGCTGCAGTTATTTTGACCATTTCTATGACTTTTGCTCTCAGACGGGGCTGTTGAGAATCACTCTCTACAGCCACCCATTCCTTAAGTTTCTGAAAGGAAAGCCAGAGATAAAACTCGTATTATCATAGAAGTGTTATACTGTTATCTGTATATTCCTTATGCAAATCAGATCAAGAGAGGAGAATATCTGAACTATGGTTAAAATGTGGATTATGCTTCCATTTTTATTTATATATAGATTCCTGCGGAACCTGCTTCTTCCTACAACCATGTCACATTTGCCTAGCTATATACCTTCTGAATAATTCTAGTTCTCCTAGTGCAGGGGTAGGCAACCTTGGCTCTTTTACAGCTCCTGGACTTCAACTAGCTGGCTCAGGAATTCTGGGAGTTGAAATCCACGAGCCATAAAAGAACCAAGGTTGCCTACCCCTGCTCTAGTGAATCAAACATATTATCTAATTATTGTCTAAAATGAGAATTTCTGCATATATACACTATAATTTGTGCATTATCTATGAAATATCCGTGAAATGTGGTAAGCCTAATGCAATTTTGTCAAATGCTTTGTGTATTTTCTTACACACCGCTTACTTAGAACATACTGGGCACTCTAGCACATCATCATGCTTTGTGCTTTTTAAATATCTTGTTTTGTTGTCTTATCTGAACCTGTTTATAGGACCATTAAGTCTCCCTATTGAGAAGGAGAAGAGTTGAAGGACAGTATTTTGCCTAGGGTTCATATCAAAGGTGTGCCTTCCTGATTCATAGTTTTCATTATATTGTTGTAGCCATTCTGCTGCACCAGCTCTTAGAAATACATTAGGTTTCCACAGGAAAGCTCATTAAAAATGACAGCACTTGGAAGGCTTTACACAGGCAATCCATCTTTGTACATTCTATTTCCTTCTAATTACTTCTAAGGGACTTGTCAGCATGCAATCTCCCTTTTAAAAAAAGAAGAATCAGAGAGGAATAACAGCAACATTATAAGAATGTCCACCCACACAATCTTCTTGTCCTGAAATTTTGTTTGGAGTGGATAATTGCATTCACTCTGCATTGTGAGGTAACTTTTCTCTTGGTTTTGCAGAAATGCCCATCAGCACAATGAATAATACAAGTGCCATTATCTTACTTTGGAGAGCCAAAATAAAAGTAGCAAGTGAGTTCTGTCTCTTTATTCACAATTCTGAAATGCTTTGTTGTCTGCTGGGAGCTCAGGAAGAACTAATATTAATAACAAAAGATATGCTCATGTTCTGATATTTTGGACTGGTTCTTCTATTGTTGGGGAGGCATACAGTTCTGAACCATAACTTAGAAACGGATTGCCTGGGAACCAATAAACTGAGGTCCCAGCCAGACAACAGGGATTAGTTTCTCTGAATAATCATGATAGTCTTTTTCTGAATAGCGGGCAACACTTAATGTTTGTTTCCTCTCTGTGGGCAGACAGTATGAGATCCTTGGAGTAAGAGCAGTTAAGAGTTTTCAGTCCAGGTCTGTTCGTTTTGCATCTAGGAAATGTTTCAATGTGGGAGGATAGTTTTGCTTTTAAGAGGTTTAACTGTCCTTTGCAAAGCTTAAAACGCTCATTTTACTTCTTAACAATCTCCAATGCCTCCCCTCTTCAGATCCATTCACTTTAGTGGGTTGTTGGGACAATAAATGGCTCATAGGCTGCAAATTGTCCATCCATGATCAAAATAATTGAATTGACAATTGTGATATGCCACTCAACCCAACCTCGTCAATAAAGGCACAAATTGCCTCAGTGCCTACAGCATGTTTTCTAATCTGCTTCTAAACTGTTTGCTTGAACAGCTATTTATGCTCATTTGGAATCATTAATAGTATCTTACCTATTGAGGGTTGTTTTTGAAAGGCCTTAAATTTCAAGTCCTCAATACAGGCAGAGATAGTTCTGGCATTGTTATTATTGCTATTACTTTCTTTTCCCACCAGCAATGTTACTTAAAATGCAGAAATTATTTTAAAATATTTAATAAACAAACAAACAAACATTTATTTAAAATATCTTCTCCCATATTTATCTATTGAAGACTTACATTGTGAAAAGAGGCAAGACAAGTGGCCACATTCAATTTTGCTGTGCCCTTTGTGTAGAGAAACTCTTGTAGACCCTATTGATCAATGTTCTTGAGGTCAGGCAATGATCTTTTGATTCTCCAAGGTATTGTAATGTTTGCCACTCTGTTTAATACTGCTCCTGGATTTACTTTGATTTAGTTTATTGTTTTAATCTTTGCTTCTAGTTTTCTCTGAGTTTTATTATGTACTGCTCTTACAATTGCTTAATGTTTTGAGCACTTGTTGGAGTCTCCCTTTTTCTACTCCAGTACCTGTACTGGGCTTGAACAAGAATGGGGTGACTCCCATAAGTCCATTCCCACCTGGGTGACTTTGGACTACTCATTGTCTCTCACCCCATTCATCCTCATGACATTGTTATAGTGAAGGTGCAACTGGAAGAGATTAGCATGCCTATTACCAGTGGAAAAAACCTAGGATATAAATCTAATAAATGTGTATATATACCACCCTGACAGCTCAAGTTATAAAACAAGCAAAAAGTTAAATGAACTAGCAATCAATGAAACACCTTTGGATAAAGTATGAAACCATTGAAGTAGAAATTCATTTATTGATCCAGATACTGGAGAAGATACTGCATCAGGAATTTGATCTCCCAATCAGTATTAATATTCTTTGCACTGTAGTTCAAACTAGCAATCTGTGGCCTTTGACATGCCAATAATCTTTGCTAAAAAAAAGCAAGTTCTCCAAGTTAAGACAGACAGACTTGGATTGCATTTAGTTAGCAAAACTCACAATCACCGCATTTCTACCTGAACAAATTCATCCTGATGTTCATCAATGTAGTTGAAAAGCTCCTCCTCCAGGGATAAGGAACTGGAAAATAAGGAATTGCCCACTCCAAAGGGCAGCATGATAAGAGAGATGTAGAATATCTGCAGGTTACAAAGACATGGTTCAGCATCTTTAAAAAAATATTCAGAGTTATACAAGATGAAATGATTACTTAGTGTTTTATAGCCCATCATTTATAAGTAATAAATACACTGAGAAATTGAAAAAGAAATGCTTGCATAAAATGGGATAAAAAAGTAAATCAAACTGCCAAATAGATTTAATGGTATTTAAACATAATGATATCTTGCAACACTAATGTACCAGATCTGGAATTTCCCTCTTGAATAGCGGTAAACTTTTTGGGCTCAGTATATCAAAAATTCAGAAAATGCCTAATTTGACTTTGCTGTGGTATTGTGCACACACATCCAAACAAAAGGGAAATAATTCTTTATCAGCTCTCCCCCAATCTAGGCTATTCAGTGGCATTCAGTGGCAAGCACTGAGGCTCAGTCGGGTGCAGAGATCCAGGCCTTGATTTTAGTCCTAATGCCACTGCTGCCACTCAAAGAGGCCACCTCATGCTGTTACTCTAAGTCCAGGAGCCTTGAAGAACAGTGCAATTGCCTCATGGCCCAATGCTCCCATGCTGGCTCCTGCAGACTGGTATCAACAGGAGGGGCTTGTTAAAAGTTATGCTCTCCAGCTATTAATTAAAAATCCCTGGAGTAGGTGAGATTGAATCCTCCTTCCCTTTGCTTTTCTGATCAGTCTATATGCTAGAATTCACTACTCGCAGGGGTTCTCAACCTTGGCAACTTTAAGACTTGTGGACTTCAATTCCCAGAATTCCTCAGCCAGCTTTGCTGGCTGAGGAATTCTGGGAGTTGAAGTCCACAAATCTTAAAGTTGCCAAGGTCGAGAACCCCTGCGTGACTACTGGATCCTGTCATGCTAGTCAGACCAGGTTGGATTATTTCAACATTTATTGAGGCATAGATCTAAATAAACAAAAATTGGAAAAAAAAGGTTTTGTATCACAACAGATCCCAACCTAATTACAAGCCCTTGTATACTCTTCCGATACAGTTTTGATCACTGTAAGTATACAAGTTTGGCTGTAAAAGACTGCTTATTACCAAATACAACTAGCCACTATCTGGTTAGCATCAGTGTCAGCATTATTTGTGAGAGTTATCTAGCCTCCTTTAGATGCAGGGAGGAGAATGAGAATAGAAATACAGGAGGAGTTAACAAAGAAATGTACCACATATTGCTGGCAGAAGGCACATTTGGTTACAGTTGAGGATAATTGTACAAGATTTCCATCTTACTGGAGGGAGCATGCAGCCAGACAGGCATAAAGATCAGAGGCCTGAATTGTGATAAAAATTTCTTTATCCAGCAGAAGAAGATGAAATACTTACTTTCTTATACATATTGTATGTGTGTCTCTCTTATAATATTACAAAACTGTACAACTCAGCTTTTGATCCATAAGTCATGAATGCACACTACCCAATTCCAGAGACACTCTTACAGCAGTTAGTTAAGGTTCATTAACTGCTACCTACCGTAAATGTTATCCACCCCATCCCTGAGTTGACAAAAAACAACACTGGCATGACAGATGCCCATTGCTGATTGCTATCCCATCTCTATCACTTTTGTTTGCAATTACTGCCAGTCCTGACTTCTGTCTAAGGTAATGGCATTAGGTATTAAAGCCTAATAAATTTTACACACTCTGAGACTGCCCTTGGATGGTGACAGAAAATGGGGAAATTACTGTTTTAATCCTGCCACAATTAAAACTGATTAAATCCTGTCCCACTCATGGGCTGCAGACAAGGTGAAGGCAACATTATGGGGACAAAAGATGCTATTGGGGCATATTTAGGAGGTAGAGAAGAGCATGTTGGGCCATCAGCAACAATTTAACCCAATTGGCAAGAGAACCAGCTAATGCAAAATAGCTGATGCTTATATTTGTGGTGTTTGCAGGTGGCAGACACATTATCAGTCCAACAACACTGAACAGTCTCTTCTCCTTTTCAGCCCCACTGCTATGAGAAACAGCAAGAAAGGGTGTAGCATCAACAGACCTCATCCTATCTAATGTGACATGGAGCATTGTTCATCATGGCAAACTGGCACACTGCAGCCAAAAATAGTGCTTGAATGCAGGGTTTGGGCTGCCAAAATCACTAAAAAGGAGAGATTGCAAGTTTACCCCTATGTATTCTGCAAGCTTTTTTTTTTTTTTTTGGTCAGTAGGCAACAGGAGCTGCATTTTGAGATTGGCTGGGAGTTGTGGGATTTCATTGTTGCTAATGTCTTCTCAATGGACTTTATGTTCAACCAAGACTCATCTCAGAATCATTCTGGATTTTTTCCCCCTTTGGCTGTTTTTTTTTTAAGACTGAGAATCTTCAGATGGGCAAATGTTATTGAAATCACTAGCAAGCCCCCTTCAGTCCTTTAAAAAATGTTCAACTACCACAAGTTTGTAGTAATTTTTTTTTTACAGCAAAAGGAAGAATATTGTTGCCTTTTAAAAGTTTTAAATGGATTAAGGGCTCAAATGGATTTGATTTAAGACTTTGAAGATAATTCAAAGGATTCTTTCTCCAGAGAAAATCTTGTTTTTACTTTGAAAGTGATAAGATGACTTTGAAGGTTGAACACTAGAGGACACCAGATGGCTAGCCTAAAATAAATGTTTGATGAAAGTCTTTAGCTATTTCACTTTATAGCAGAATCAGAAGGTGTTACTGAAGAGGAACAAGCTCCACTGAATAAAACTAAATTGACTTGCAGAAGGATTTAAAAATTATAGTCTACACAAGAATGAGATGGATAATGGATTTACAAATGAATTTGGATGATTCAGATAACAAATCAGAAGAGCAATGTGGATAATTTTATTGCATTAGGTTTACAAAAAGGGTTGGCTGGGATTGCCACACTGGAATTATAAAAGAATTCTGAGAAAAGAGACAAAGAATAAGAAAGCAAATGTTACAATTTTCTTTGAGGAATTTAAAGATCATTGAGAGAAAGAACACAAAATTGGTTTATTTGCTCAAGACTAAAATAATGGGTTGTTATTTCTGGTGATGTCTAGAGCTTTTATGATTGGAATGAATAATAATGGTTATTTCTGGTAATGTTTGTTTTTTGAGACTTTATTTGAAAAAAGGAAACAGGAAGGATTAAATTGGCTGTAGTCAGTGGTGGGATTCAGCCGGTTCGACCACTTCGGCAGAACCGGTAGCTAATTTTTTGTTGCCCAGGCCCAGAATGGACTACTGGAAGCGGCATCCACACAGAGAACCGGTTGTTCACATATTTGAATCCCACCACTGGCTGTAGTATATACAATTTGCAATATTTGTGCTATTTTTGATCATGTTAATGGACTTTTGCTATTTAATATTGTTGAAGGAAAAGTCTTCATCAGGGTCCAGTCCAAGCTGGGAATAAACAACATGGGGACTGCTTTAGAAAGAAGGTTGTAGTTTATTGAAGAGGAGAGCCAGACAGAAAGATGGCTCTGGAAGAAAAGTGAGAGCACATGTAGTAAGGGGTAGGTTTTTATACCTTCTTGAGCTTTTGTTTGGAGTTGTTCCTGTGTCATGAACTTTGACCTAAGTCTGAATGTGCCTTTCTGATATTCTGATGGTGGTAGGTTAATCCTATTATGTCCTATCTTAGAGTTTGGGTTAGATTTTAAGGATCTTTGTCTTCCTGATCTCTTCAGCTTCTAGCTGGAGGGCTCCAACCTTCCTGAATGGATTATTACATCTGCATTTCTAAAAGCTGGTTTCTGCTGAGTTGTCTTGCTGGGGGGAGAGAGAAGTTTCTGCCTTTTAAAAGAATTTCTCCATTATTCCTTTGGGGAAATATATTCTGCCTTTTTAATATTCCCAAAAATGTTTCTTTTCTCTGGATTGTTCCCACAATATGGAGCTATGAGATTTTAGAGACAGGCTTATAGAGAGTGGGGGAGGCATGGAATAAAGAGGTGCTTGGTTGGATGTTTAAGAGATAGTGATAAGTTGTTCATGTTGATTATACTTGCTGGGGATGAAGGGGAGAAGTTTCTTTTTTTATTTTTTTTTCCTTTTCTGCACTTTTTAATTCTTGTTTTTTTAAAAAAATGTATTTTTATTATGCAGTTGTATTTGTTTTATCTGTTTTATTTGAAGCAGTATATAAGTCTAAGTGCTATTGCTATTTATATGTTTTCATAATGATATGTTTTATATATACAATATAATTATTTAAAAAATATTTATCTGGCAATTATTGGTTGCTAATGTTAATACTATGTTTGTAGGGACTAAGTAAGTTGGCCCTCAGGTGCTTTTTTTAAATGATCAGCCCAGTTCACAGATTCCATTTCTTTAATTATGGCTTATGTTATATTATGTTATGTTGTGTTATTTATCAAACTTCTTAACCACACATCTCCCTTGTAGAGGGGCTCTGGGTGGTATACAATTTAATATAAGATTAAAAGTAAATAATTTAGGATTATTTTTTTAAAATGTAAAACATTATAAAATTACAAAAAATGGAAAGTTCCAAGATGGGAAGATGTGGAGTTGTTAATAAAGCAGACGGGGGGGGGGGGTCTTATGGGACCAACCAGCAGGGGGTCTTATGGGACCAACCAGCCCCATGGCCGCGTGGGCTCGTATCCGATGCAAGGCTACAAAGCCAGGTTTTGACCCCTTTGCAGAAAGCTAAATTAATCCAGTCATTGAAACATTACAGGAATGGATGGCTGCTCCAGCCATAGATTGCCCCCCCCCCCCCAAAAAAAAATCCTCACAGGCCATGGAGCTGCTTCTACACAACCACCCTCAAACCTGGACTTCCCTGGCAGAAACCAGATCCCACTTCCATCAGCTCAGCTAAGATAATGGAAATGGTGGTCCAGTACTCTTGGGGTTTGGGGCCAGGCCAAGAGAGGCTCATTCTGACCCGTTTCTACTGGCTCTCCCCTTGAGGTGGCATCGCCAGGGCGAAATGGAGGGATGGAGAGAAAAAGTGGGGTGGGGCCAATGGGGGGACTTTGGCTGCCAAACTGGAGAGCGAGCGACGGGGCTGAGGTGGGCGACCTTCGAGCCCTTTCCTAGTCTCTTCTTCAGGCTGACATTTCTCAACGGGATGTCCAAGGAAGAAGGCGAAGGAAGCCGCTCAGAGAGATACTCGGAGGGAGGAGCTAAATACTCACAAGGCGCTGGCCGAGGGTCTCCTCAAGAGAGCAATCCTCGGCGGCCACTCCGCCCTCCCTCGATGCCTAAGAGCAGCTGTCAGCCACTTCTGCGGCTCCGGGCTGGCTCGCTGACTCACCCACCTGCGATTGGCTCCTGGTCTCCGGCTGAGCAATTTCAGCTAGACCGTCGGAGACTGACTTTATGAGCCTTCCGCGGCGGTAGGCGGAGGGGAGGAGTAGTCGGTGCAAGGCGCGGCCAGGGAGGAGCGAGGCGGCCTCCGCCGCCTGTTCCAAGAAACTTAAAAGCGAGCGCCTTTGGCGGTCTCAATGCGTTTGTCTAGCGCTTCCCTGAGGCCGATTTCCCAGGGCGCTTCCGTCCCGTCTGCATTGTCCCGGGATCTTTGGACACGCTGGCTGGCAGTCGGGAGAGATTTTGCCCCAACACCTCTGGAGAGCCCGACTGTACCGTTCACTAAATGATGAGAAGAATCCCTGAGAATAAAAAGCCAGCGTTTCCTCATGGCTTTGCCGTTAGACTAGGATTCGGGTGCGATTTGTTTAATTTTGTCTTATTGCAAACCAAGCCGATCGTAGTTTATTCCACAGGGTAATTCGAGGGAAACCATAGCTAAGGATAATGGGTGAACCGAGTTCTCTCTGCTTTGGAAAAATCTGCCCATTTCATAGTGTGAGCTTCCCGGAGTGATTTCCCCCCCCCCCCCTTGCAGGTAAACAAAACTCCAATTCATGGAGTTCACATCTCTCGTTTTATAGTAATTTGTGAAGACTGCATTTAGCAGTCTAACCATCCCACTTGTACAAAATCTCCTATGAAAGTGCCAGCAAACTCTATCCACTTGCTGATATTCTGAAAGCAGAGATATAGCCAGATCAAGGAGTTGCCTAAAAGAACTGGTTGTTCTTGATTGCTACACAACACATACATTACTTGACATTCTGCTAGAGAAAAAGAAATATACTTCAAGAATAGAATGGATATCTGTGATTGTATTCATATCGCTTTGTTTTAACTATTTATGACATGACCAGCATATTAGTGCTGTAAGATTCCAGCAAACCCATTGAGGCCCAGGAATTGTTGCTGCTTCCATTACCTTGGAAGTGGAATTCTCACATTTTGGCTCCATAACCCTGACCTAGCTTCACCCTGGTCTGAAGCTTATATCTGAGGGAAGAAAATGATCTTTTCATGAAGTGCATTAAAATTTACTGGCATAGCAAGTGCAAGCATGTATTCAACCTTGGCTAATCTCAAACTGGGGAGCATGATGGCTCAGTGGTTGAAGATGCTGAACTTGTTAGCTGGAGGATTGACAGTCCAGGTTTGAGACCTGAGCTCTGCGCAATGGGGTGAGCTCCTGTTACTTGTCCCAGCTCCTACCCACGCAGCAGTTTGAAAGCATGCAAATCAAGTAGATTAATAGGTACCACTATGGTGGGAAGATAATAGCATTCCGTGTGCCGTTGGCATATAGCCGTGCTGGCTACATGACTAATGGAAATTGTCTTCGGACAATGCTGGCTCCCTCAGCCAAGAAACAGAGATGAGCACTGTGCTCTAGAGTCCGACAGAACTGACAGGAAACCTATATCTTTAATCTCAAACTAAGCTATGCAGTCAGATCTGGTTGATAGTTGGATGCGAGACCATCAGGAAATGTTCATGGCAGACTATTTTTGCATTGTTGCTCACGCATGCAAGGGTAGTTAGCCAGAATTTAGCTGGATGCAAGAGATTCTTTGCCACCAGTTACTGTACAAAAAATATGATATAGCTTTTAGCATCGTGGTTGCTTACCCAATGATTTGATAAACTGTAAAACAACACCCCTGCAAGACAGGTCCATGGAGAGAAGTAGGATTGCCCTTGCATCCTGAAGTGTAACTGCATTCTAAGGATCAGAACTGATATGACTATTTGATATGGAGAGGGAAAGATATACTTCTCTATTGCTGTATGCTATTGCTATTCCCTTTATCGTAATAAACTTCAGTAAAAGGCTATAAAGCTAATCAAGAAAGTGAGTATTTTGCTGAGTGTGGTAATGACCTGCTCTCCTAGGGATCAATAATTCTCTTTGCCCTCTTTTGGTATCAGCAGTCCTATAGCTCTTGGCACTGTGACTCTGTTGCAAGCTCTATTGTGTTCATTTTATTCATGTCATGCTTTATATCTTGGGTTTTGATATCCCAGGTTAGGGTGAACTTAATACCAGCATTCAAAACAGCATTCTGCTCCCACCAGAACAGGAGCTTCATTTTTAAGAATTAAATAAAAAAGTATTCTGAAAGAAAACTTTTCCCATGAGTACTGGATAATTAGTGATTCTTGTTCATAAGACTCCTCAAAGCTGTGGCATGTTAAGATTCCATGAGTAACATCAACTGCAGTCACATCTTCACAAGCATACCTGAGCAAAATCTCCCAAGCATTGCAAGTTAGCATTTAAGCCATATTTTATTTATTTATTTATTTATTTATTTATTTATTTATTTATTTATTTGACTTATATACCACTTTAAGTGCAAGCACTTTCTAAGCAGTGTACACCAGTAAGCAATGTATATATATATTTACATTGCCCCCAACAATCTTGTAATATGGCTACACGTATATACGTGTATATATGTGTGTATGTGTGTGTGTGTGTGTGTGTAATACTAAGCAAACAGTTGTTTTCATAATGCCTGATTGAACACATCTGAAAAACAGCCATGCCAATAAGTAAAATAATGGTTGTTTCCTCCCTCCCCCCAGCTTATATCTCTCTGAATTGACAAAAGGCAAATCAGGAATAAGCTAAGAAATCTATTAACAAACTATGCTCCATTTACTTATCACACTACCAAAGTTGCCGTGGTTTCCTGCTCTAAAACAAATTATGATCTTTCACTGTCCTAGTACATGTTATGCTAAGTAAAAAGTGCATTGGGAAGCAATGAATTAAATGCTGTAATGCTGTAATGACGTGGGTCAGATATATCCGACTAATGGGTTGCAGAGCATATGGTCTTTGTAATTCCCTAACAATGTCTCAAAATGAGACTAGAAAATGAAATTTCCCAATTAGATGAAGAGAGGAAAAGAATGCTGGAGAACAGGTGCCCTTTCTTGCTGAAAAAGTGGAAAGCTGAATTTGGTTTACCTCAGCATTTAAACATTACAATCTCTACCAAAGGATTCAGGTAGCTTGTCAATTTGTCTTATCTTATAAAGTTGTATAGATGGATTTGCTCCTCTCTTCAGATATAGATAAAACAGAGAAAGACGTGGTAAAGCAGTACTATTTCTAATTAGATCTGTACAAAGGCAAATTGACCCATTGTGATTTAATAAACTACAGTGATAGGAATCATTTATATCATGGTGTCAAACTTGATTGCGTCACGTGACATATCATGATTTTTTTGCCTTTGCGGAGCCGAGGTGGGCACGGCCTGCACATGATATATCTGGTCCGCAGCCTGCCAGTTTGACACCCCTGATCTAACAAACTGGCAAACCGTAACAATAAACTGGCAAATCACATTGGATATCTACACAAGCTATTATAATATATGCCATATTACACGATAACATATTATAATTTAACATGATCCTGTCTGCACTTTGGGCATTGATCATCTGCATTAAGCACATAGAATAAAATTGGTACAAATTTCCAAAATGATAGCTATTCTGAACTAAGTAGACACTTATAGGACAGTTGTATTGGGCTACATTAGCCAAAAATCAGAAGTGAGCTGTAGTTCACAATAACTTTTAATAAAGTCTGTTAGTTTGAAACTGTGCTACTAAACGCCTTCTGATCAAAGCAGCTAGTCCATCTGAAATCATTTGAAGGTGTACATCTCTACATTTTGCAGTATGATTACAATCACTAGACAGATTTAAAATTTGAAGAAGGCTTACCATGACAAAAATTCTGACAGCAAATAAGGTTTCTTCTTTTCCCATCGAACTCAGAACGCACTGTTAGTTCAAGCTCCAAACTACAAAAAGGGGCTTGAACTAACAGTGCATTCTGAGTTTGATGGAATGTTCTCCACCACCCCCCACCCCCCGTCTGTATCTTTGTGTTTTTAATATGATGAACAGCAGGATTAAGGACAAAGGTTCATTATTCCAAATGCTGTGATTCAAGCCTCCAAATAAATAATGACCCTTTGATTGTCCATCTGGCCACCGCTTTGAAATTCCTTAATTGCTTGTTTTATGTAGTTATAATTGTACGTGGATAGAAACCAGGGAAAATAGCAACCTAGCATTCAAAAATGTTTTCGTTGGCCTGTTCATAACTATTATGAAAATTTATGAAATAACTGAGATAGATACTGACCCTTCAGCTGTCCTTGAAGACCGATATAGGAAGATTCCTTACCCCAAGACCCAATGCCCCAGAGACTCTGGACACACAGAAACAACGTAGCATATGCTTCTCTAGTGCCTGTACTGCGGAAACAGTCATACTAGCCTCATCTCACCATTACTCACCATTATTACTGAGCATAAATACTCAGGATGCACAGAATTCTATACCTCCTTGCTACTTTCAGATACCAACCCTGCTCTAACATACTGTAGATTTAATGAGCACCTTGTTCAGTGATGGTGAGCCTGATACGTCAAAGTGACATGCTATGATGTTTTGGGTGACACATCAGCATTTATTCCCAACAATTATTCTCAAAAGCAAGCCCCCATTCTAGCGTGATTTTTGGAGGCTGTATGAGAATGGTGTGTGCTCTTCTTGTACAGAAGTTGTGTGAGACAGTCGTCTTCTTGTACAGCCTCTGGAGCCTCCCAAAAATGAGTTTGTTTTACTCATATTTCATTTATGTAATTATTTGACATTTCTTTATGTAATACATAGCATCACACAATTGAACTGGAATTTTTTAAAATATATATAAAGAATTGTATTCTGTTTATTTCAGGAGAGGTGGTGACACATCAGCAGTCAAGTTAGCTATTTTCAATCTTGAGCCCAAAACATTCACCATTACTGACCTAGTTCAACGTATTAATTCTCTGGAACTTGATATATCTTTCACATAACAACTTTTTATGCTTCCCTACAGCCATCTAATGCTCCTACACCTTATTTTATATATACTTGTTTTTTTTAATTCATATATCTTTTATATCTTCTAGTTTTTCAAAATTTGTTAGAT